GTGTCACTTTACCCCACTCCCTATAGCATGTAAACTCACTGAGCAGGGCCGTCAATCCATCTGTTACTGTGTCACTATAGCCCACTCCCTCTAACATGTAAACTCACTAAGCAGGGCCTCAATCCCTCTGTTACTGTGTCACTATACCCCACTCCCTCTAACATGTAAACTCACTGAGCAGGGCCTCAATCCCTCTGTTACTGTCACTATACCCCACTCCTCTAACATGTAAACTCACTGAGCAGGCCCTAAATCCCTCTGTTACTGTGCCACTATACCCCACTCCCTCTAACATGTAAACTCACTGAGCAGGCCCTCAATCCCTCTGTTACTGTGTCACTATACCCCACTCTCTCTAGCATGTAAACTCACTGAGCAGGAGCCCTCAATCCCTCTGTTACTGTGTCACTATACCCCACTCCCTCTAACATGTAAACTCACTGAGCAGGCCCCTCAATCCCTCTGTTACTGTGTCACTATACCCCACTCCCTCTAACATGCAAACTCACTGAGCAGGGCCCTCAATCCCTCTTTTACTGTGTCACTATACCCCACTCCCTCTAACATGTAAACTCACTGAGCAGGCCCTCAATCCCTCTTTTACTGTGTCACTATACCCCACTCCCTCTAACATGTAAACTCACTGAGCAGGCCCTCAATCCCTCTGTTACTGTGTCACTATACCCCACTCCCTCTAACATGTAAACTCACTGAGCAGGGCCCCAATCCCTCTGTTACTGTGTCACTATACCCCCCTCCCTCTAACATGTAAACTCACTGAGCAGGGCCCTCAATCCCTCTGTTACTGTGTCACTATACCCCACTCCCTCTAACATGTAAGCTCACTGAGCAGGCCCTCAATCCCTCTGTTACTGTCACTATACCCCACTCCCTCTAACATAAATCACTGAGCAGGCCCCTCAATCCTCTGTTACTGTGTTGGCCATACCCCACCTCCCTCTAACATGTAAACTCACTGAGTAGGCCCTCAACTTGCTACTGTGTGTCACTATACCCCACTCTGCACATGTAAACCCACTGAGTAGGCCCTCAATCCCTCTGTTAATACGTGTCACTATAACCCACTCCCTCTAACATGTAAGCTCACTGAGCAGAGCCCTCAATCCCTCTGTTACTGTGTCACTATACCCCACTCCCTCTAACATGTAAACTCACTGAGCAGGGCCTCAATCCTCTGTTACTGTGTCACTATACCCCACTCCCTCTAACATGTAAACTCACTGAGCAGGGCCCTCAATCCCTCTGTTACTGTGTCACTTTTCCCCACTCCCTCTAACATGTAAACTCACTGAGCAGGCCCTCAATCCCTCTGTTACTGTCACTATACCCCACTGCCTCTAACATGTAAACTCACCGAGCAGGCCCTCAATCCCTCTGTTACTGTGTCACTATACCCCACTCCCTCTAACATGTAAACTCACTGAGCAGGGCCCACAATCCCTCTGTTACTGTGTCACTATACCCCACTCCCTCTAACATGTTAACTCACTGAGCAGGCCCTCAATCCCTGTTACTGTGTCACTATACCCCACTCCCTCTAACATGTAAACTCACTGAGCAGGGCCCTCAATCCCTCTGTTACTGTGTCACTATACCCCACTCCCTCTAACATGTAAACTCACTGAGCAGGCCCTCGATCCCTCTGTTACTGTCACTATACGCCACTCCCTCTAACATGTAAACCCACTGAGCAGGGCCTCAATCCCTCTGTTACTGTGTCACTATACCGCACTCCCCTAACATGTAAACTCACTGAGCAGGCCTCAACTGTTACTGTGTCACTTATACCTACCTCTAACATGTAAACTCACTGAGGCCCTCAATCCTCTGTTACTGTGTCACTATACCCACTCCCTCTAACGCAAACTCACCTCGAGCAGGGCCCTCAATCCCTCTGTTACTGTGTCACTATACCCCACCTCTAACATGTGTGTAACTCACCTGAGCAGGCCCTCAATCCTCTGTTACTGTGTCACTATACCCCACTCCCTCTAACATGTAAACTCACTGAGCAGGGGCCCCTCAATCCTCTGTTAACAGTCACTATACCCCACTCCCCAACGTGTAAACTCACTGAGCAGGCTCCCTCAATCCCCTGCCACTGTGTCACTATACCCCACTCCCCTAACATGTAAACTCACCATGTGGGCCTCAACCCCGTTACTGTAGGCCACTATACCCCACTCCCAGCATGTAAACTCACTGAGCAGGGCCCTCAATCCCTCTGTTAATGTCACTATACCCCACTCCCTCTAACATGTAAACTCACTGAGCAGGGCCCTTAATCCCTGTTACTGTGTCACTATACCCCATTCCCTCTAGCATGTAAACTCACGGAGCAGGGCCCTCAATCCCTCTGTTACTGTGTCACTATACCCCACTCCCTCTAACATGTAAACTCACGGAGCAGGCCCTGAATCCCTCTGTTACTGTCACTATACCCCACTCCCTCTAACATGTAAACTCACTGAGCAGGCCCTCAATCCCTCTGTTACTGTCACTATACCCCACTCCCTCTAACATGTAAACTCACTGAGCAGGCCCGCAATCCCTGTGTTACTATGTCACTATACCCCACTCCCTCTAACATGTAAGCTCACTGAGCAGGGCCCTCAATCCATCTGTTACTGTGTCACTATACCCCACTCCCTCTAACATGTAAACTCACTGAGCATGCCCTCAATCCCTCTGTTACTGTCACTATACCCCACTCCCTCTAACATGTAAACTCACTGAGCAGGCCCTCAATCCCTCTGTTAGTGTGTTACTATACCCCACTCCCACTAACATGTAAACTCACTGAGCAGGGCCCTCAATCCCTCTGTTACTGTGTCACCATACCCCACTCCCAACATGTAAACTCACTGAGTAGGCCCCCAATCCCTCTGTTACTGTGTCACTATAACTCCACTCTAACATGTAAACTCAATGAGTAGCCCTCAATCCCTCTGTTACTGTGTCACTACCCCACTCCCAGCATGTAAACTCAAATGAGCAGGCCTCAATCCTCTGCTACTGGGCCACTATACTCCCACCCCAGCAAACTCACTGAGCAGGCCCTCAATCCCTCTGTTACTGTCACTATACCCCACTCCCTCTAACATGTAAACTCACTGAGCAGGCCCGCAATCCCTGTGTTACTATGTCACTATACCCCACTCCCTCTAACATGTAAGCTCACTGAGCAGGGCCCTCAATCCATCTGTTACTGTGTCACTATACCCCACTCTCTCTAACATGTAAACTCACTGAGCAGGACCCTCAATCCCTCTGTTACTGTCACTATACCCCACTCCCTCTAACATGTAAACTCACTGAGCAGGCCCTCAATCCCTCTGTTACTGTGTTACTATACCCCACTCCCTCTAACATGTAAACTCACTGAGTAGGGCCCTCAATCCCTCTGTTACTGTGTCACTATACCCCACTCCCTCTAACATGTAAACTCACTGAGCAGGGCCCTCAATCCCTCTGTTACTGTGTCACTATAACCCACTCCCTCTAACATGTAAACTCAATGAGCAGGCCCTCAATCCCTCTGTTACTGTGTCACTATACCCCACTCCCTCTAGCATGTAAACTCAATGAGCAGGCCCTCAATCCCTCTGTTACTGTGTCACTATACCCCACTCCCTCTAGCATGTAAACTCACTGAGCAGGGCCCTCAATCCCTCTGTTACTGTGTCACTATACCCCACTCCCTCTAACATGTAAACTCACTGAGCAGGCCCCTCAATCCCTCTGTTACTGTGTCACTATACCCCACTCCCTCTAACATGTAAACTCACTGAGCAGGCCCTCAACCCCTCTGTTACTGTCACTATACCCCACTCCCTCTAACATGTAAACTCATTGAGCAGTCCCTCAATCCCTCTGTTACTGTCACTATACCCTACTCCCTCTAACATGTAAACTCACTGAGCAGGGCCCTCAATCCCTCTGTTACTGTGTCACTATACCCCACTCCCTCTAACATGTAAACTCATTGAGCGGGCCCTCAATCCCTCTGTTACTGTGTCACTATACCCCACTCCCTCTAACATGTAAACTCACTGAGCAGGCCCTCAATCCCTCTGTTACTGTGTCACTATACCCCACTCCCTCTAACATGTAAACTCACTGAGCGGGCCCTCAATCCCTCTGTTACTGTGTCACTATACCCCACTCCCTCTAACATGTAAACTCACTGAGCAGGGCCCTCCATACCTCTGTTACTTTTTCACTATACCCCACTCCCTCTAACATGTAAGCTCACTGGGCAGGGCCTCAATCCCTCTGTTACTGTGTCACTATACCCCACTCACTCTAACATGTAAGCTCACTGAGCAGGGCGCTCAATCCCTCTGTTACTGTGTCACTGCCTCCTCCTAATAGCAAACTCACTGAGCAGGCCCTCAGCCCTCTGTTACTGTGTCATTGCCCCCCTGGCTCTAACATGTAAACTCACTGAGCAGGGGCCTCAATCCCTCTGTTACTGTCACTATACCCCTCCCTCAGCCAGCTCACTGAGCAGGCCCTCAATCCCTCTGTTACTGTCACTATACCCCACTCCCTCTAACATGTGACTCACTGGGCCTCAATCCCTCTGTGTGTCACTGCCCGCTCCCTCTAACATGTAAACTCACTGAGCAGGGCCCTCAATCCTCTGTTACTGTGTCACTATACCCCACTCCCTCTAACATGTAAACTCACTGAGCAGGGCCCTCAATCCCTCTGTTACTGTGTCACTATACCCCACTCCCTCTAGCATGTAACCTCACTGAGCAGGGCCTCAATCCCTCTGTTACTGTGTCACTATACCCCACTCCCTCTAACATGTAAACTCACTGAGCAGGCCCTCAATCACTCTGTTACTGTGTCACTATACCCCACTCCCTCTAACATGTAAACTCACTGAGCAGGCCCTCAATCCCTCTGTTACTGTGTCACTATACCCCACTCCCTCTAACATGTAAACTCACTGGGCAGGCCCTCAATCCCTCTGTTACTGTGTCACTATACCCCACTCCCTCTAACATGTAAACTCACTGAGCAGGCCCTCAATCCCTCTGTTACTGTGTCACTATACCCCACTCTCTCTAGCATGTAAACTCACTGAGCAGGAGCCCTCAATCCCTCTGTTACTGTGTCACTATACCCCACTCCCTCTAACATGTAAACTCACTGAGCAGGCCTCAATCCCTCTGTTACTGTGTCACTATACCCCACTCCCTCTAACATGTAAACTCACTGAGCAGGCCCTCAATCCCTCTGTTACTGTGTCACTATACCCCACCCCCCCTAACATGTAAACTCACTGAGCGGGGCCCTCAATCCCTCTGTTACTGTGTCACTATACCCCACTCCCTCTAACATGTAAACTCATTGAGCAGGCCCTCAATCCCTCTGTTACTGTGTCACTACCCCACTCCCTCTAACATGTAAGCTCACTGAGCAGGCCCTCAATCCCTCTGTTACTGTGTCACTATACCCCACTCCCTCTAACATGTAAACTCACTGAGCAGGGGCCTCAATCCCTCTGTTACTGTGTCACTATACCCCACTCCCTCTAGCATGTAAACTCACTGAGCAGGGCCCTCAATCCCTCTGTTACTGTCCCGCTACCCCACTCCCTCTAACATGTAAGCTCACTGAGCAGGCCTCAATCCCTCTGTTACTGTCACTATGCCCCCTCCTGTAAACTCACTGAGCAGGCCCTCAATCCCTCTGTTACTGTCATTGCCCCTGGGCTCTAACATGTAAACTCACTGAGCAGGGCCTCAATTCCTCTGTTACTGTGTCACTATACCCCACTCCCTCTAACATGTAAACTCACTGAGCAGGGCATCAATTCCTCTGTTACTGTCACTATACCTCACTCCATCTAACATGTAAACTCACTGAGCAGGGTCCTCAATCCCTCTGTTACTGTGTCACTATACCCCACTCCCTCTAACATGTAAACTCACTGAGCAGGCCCTCAATCCCTCTGTTACTGTCACTATACCCACTCCCTCTAACATGTAAACTCACTGAGCAGGCCCTCAATCCCTCTGTTACTGGGTCACTATACCCCACTCCCTCTAACATGTAAACTCACTGAGCAGGTCCTCAATCCCACT